CGCGTGTGTGTTGTAATTTTTTTTAAGTTTAATGAAATTTAAGATTTTAAAAAATAATATGTTTGAAATGTTTATTTTCTATCTCAATTAATTTTAGGAAAAAAAATAGCATGGCAACTTGGCAACCCATACCATATAAATGACAAATTTTGGTTAAAGTGTGATAAAACTGACGTGACGTGACAAATATGACATCACTCCCACCAACCTTATGTGGCTTGCTGTTAAAATATATTATGAAAGTATACATTTTTGAAAAGTAAAAGTAAATTAGTAATTCTTTTGCTAACTTCTAAAATATTTTCCCCCATTTATTTTCTCTTTCAATTTCCACAATTTTGTCTTTATTTTATAGAATATCTTTCAAACATTACCTATCCAAACCATGCTAAATGAAAAAGATAAATAATTTTATCTTAACCACATTTTCATGAAAAATCACTGATAAGCTATGGCCACATATATAACTACACTTCTAATCTTTTAAGTGTAGTTTCGAGCCTAGATCTCTGTGTACATCTCCAAATCTAGACACCAGAAACATTTCCGAGCATCACAACTTTTGTGTCGCTAGTAACTAAATATGCGACTTCACTGCACAATCTTATATTAGCTAATTCTATTTTGTAACGCTTCCCTTTTACTAATAATTTACTCGTTTTTTAATAAAACTTCGTTATTCCATAAAAGCATAACATACGACTTCTGCTACTGTAACATCACCAGCATTCAATAATCAATCACAGTCAATAATCATAGCGATGGAGATATTGATGGTTGTGGTGACACGATAATATCAACGGTTCATGTTTTATAGGGGCAAAGAGCCAAAGATCGAACCATATTGATTAGGTTTAGTTATTGGTTCCAGATGTCAAATTTTGATATATGCCGTTGGACTTGGGACCCATAATGTTAAATGTAATTATGTTGGGCACAAACTACAAGAACTAACCACATTTGTACACGTACATTTTGCAACTAAATTTCTGTACAACTACCAAACCTTTTTGGGATGCTAAACCTCACCAACATTCCTGATCCAAACATATGCGTCCTTTTAGTGACATGTGTTTTTTCCTTTTTATTTGAAAAGCCACACGTAATTTAGAGGGTGTTTGGGAGTGCTTATCTATTTCTTTTAACGTTTTTAGTGATATAAAAATGAAGCTTTAAAAAAAAATAATGTTTGGATTGTCATGTCAAAATGTTATAAGTTAGAAAAATATCTTTTAATGTTTTGCAAAATGACCAAAAAAGTTTTTTAAAGATATGAGACAACTATAAGTTATAAGGAGTTTTTATAAGGTAGAAACATAACTTATAAAAAATGACTTATTAAGAGTGTAAGACATTTATAAGTTATTTTAAAAAAACGTATCTATCTAATTCCAAACACTTTTTAAGTTTAACATGTGTGAAACCGGCAATAAGTTAAAAGATTTTTTTAGGCTTTCTCAAAACACCCTTTTAATAACACAAACATAATTTTATATTTACTGAGTTGTGAGTTTATGTTTTAAGAATAAATGTATTATTTTCTTAATCACTTATATGTTGACTGTTTTAATAAAAAATAAATTTATAAGCTAAGGATTTTGAAATTTCATTGATCATCGCCCAAATATAGTTTAATTATGAATGCTGTGTATAGAGTGGTCATTTTGACTTTTAAGGATCGTGAATGGTCGATTCAAATTATATTTTATCTTTAACTTATTAAATGGTAAACAAGAAGTTATAAATGAATAAAAGAAAATTATAATCATGTAACATATATTTTAGATGCAAGTTCCTAATTTGTTTAATCATAAGATATACTTCAAGTTGTTGTCTCTTGTAAGCTGCAATTTTGTATAAGTTTTTACTACCCAATAATCCAGTATAACTGTATCCCATTCCAAAAAGAGAATTTTATTTTAACTCACGTTTACGCTTTAACGGCTCATCTTGTGTAGGTGGAGCTAGAGATCAATCATAGTGTCACAATATTCTAGATGACATGTGTTCACGTTATTCTTCTCACACGTGTACGAACAAAATGGCCTCTGTAGATGGGCTCACCCGTCAGAGGGCTACATTCAATCGAAGCATTTATACTATCCAATCAGCCATAGGAATATGAAACAATAAATTAAAATCCATAATTATGTATAGAGATGGTTAACGTAAAACTTATAAGTTCAAGCATATTTTCAAATTCAAGATTTGATTAAAATTTGTTACAGATTGATCACCAAGAGTTTTTCATTTGTATTTTTGTTATAATTAACCGATACATGAAAATAGAGGCGGGAGAGGGAAATATGTCGTGGTGATGGTCGCGGCAGAAGGGAGACCTACATGAGAGGGTAAGGATAAAATGAGCCTTGTTAAAATTTTTAAATTAAAATATTAAAATAAATAAATAAATATTAATTATGATAATTTAATAGGAAATCTTCAGAACAGTCACAAAATTTTGGAAAAAGTTACTCTTTTGTCCCAACATCTTTTTGAACAAAAATACCCAAAAAAATCGGTTAAATTGAATATTTCGACCCTATTTTACCGGCGACCTTCATTTAGCCGGTTAAAATTGTTTATGTGGCCAGGAGTTGCTTACGTGGGTTCAATCAATCTCATTTAGACCCACCCATACACCCACAATAGAAGTTATCTCTCTCGTTTAACATTCTCTCTCTCTCTCTCTCTCTCTCTCTCTCTCTCTCTCTCTCGGTAAATTAGGTTTTTTTACCCCCGTGCAGTTGAAATCATGGAGGACATCCATGATTTTGATACAATAGATGTGGAGCTGGATGCGTACTTCAAAAAGAAACAAGTTTCCTGATGCAAAGACGAATTTCTAAATACTCTATTTGAAGAAGACGACGACGATGCAGTAAATGATGCTCAAACTGAAAATGATGCGCAAACTGGAATCAATAAAGAAGACTCAGACGAAGATTATCTGGAAGGTAGTAACGAGGAAGATAGTGATGAGAAATTTGAGTATTCTACCAACAACCCAAATATGAAATGGAAGAAAATGAGATCAACGCTTGGTGAAAGGTATGAATCCCCACATGAACTGAAATTGTGTTTAACCAACTATGCTGTTAGTAAGGGTTTTCAAATTGTTTCAAAAAATGTGATAGTGTTAGACTAGTGGCAATATGTGGAAGTGATCTAGAGAAAGTGCCCATTTGTGGCCAGGGCTTCTTGGATGAGTACTGAAAGGTCATTCCAAGTCAAAAAGATGATAAACATTCATAAATGTGTTAGTAATTTTAACAATTCAAGGCTTATGGATCCTACCTGGTTAGCTAGGAAATTTGTGAAGGAGTTGATTAGAAAACCTAATTTAAAATGCAAAGAGATGAAGGTAATCATACAAAGTAAATTTCATTGCAAAATTTCATGGTCAAAGTGTTTATAGATCAAGGATGAGGGCACTTTCATTAATTCATGGGAAATTGAGTGACCACTACGCAAAAGTTTAGGATTATGGGCATGAGCTACTAAGATCCAATCCATACAACACACTTAGGATTATAGTTACTGTAAACCCTGATAATACCACTGCTTGTTGTGAATCTGGTTGTTGAGCCATGGTTGTTCCATAACGTCTCCAAAAAAGTTCCCAGCTGGTTGTTCTTACCCAAACTCCCCAAATATTCCATTGTTCTCCAAATTGACATTGTTATGAAATGCTAATAAGAGATTTGCATACCACTGGTTTGGTAGATCAGGATCCACCCAACGAAAGTACTTGCAATCTTTGAGTTCATTCTGGTAATTTGGGCATCCTATAAACCTTCTTCCAAGGTTTAATGGAGTCCATGAAGTCCATATCCTACGAGATCACCATAGTAGCACCTGTTTCTGAGACGATTCATCGAAGATGAAGAAGACGAAGAAGACATTCGTCTTGGTCCTCCATTGTTCCTTCTTCAATCATCGTCTGCTAGGGCACAAATGAAGTTTTTCACGATATTTACATTTAATACAAGGACATTAAATGACTCACCAACCACCTCAACAACTCCTTGCCACATAAACAATTTTAACCGGCTAAATGAGGGTTGTCGGTAAAAAAGGGTCGAAATGTTCAATTTATCCAGTTTTTTTGCGTTTGTTTGTTCAAAAAAATGTTGGGATAAAAGTGTATTTCCCAAAAGTTTGAGACTTTTCTAAACATTTCCCTAACTTAATAGACTTCATACAACATAAAAAACTACTATTTGGACATTTTTGTAATTCTTTTAGTCAAGAGACTGAAACTCTTTTTTTTTTTTAACAAAATGACCAAATTTATATTTACTCTAGTAATACTAATAAAAATAACAAATTTAGTTAAAAAAATCAAATTATAATTTTTAAGATAAAAACCATGTTCATATCAAGACCACAAGTTAAAATTATAAAAGTAATAGTTCAATTTACGTCAAAACTAAATTGGACTTGATCAAACATCAATTTGGAAGAAAAAAAAATTAAAAATTCTAAGATTAATAACCCTTCCAATAACATGGTCTTCCATATTTCCCCAGTCTTCCAACTAACAAACAATTATTTGGGTTTGGATTTTTGATAATGACAAGATGAAAGGTCGAGTGAATAAGGAGGGTGAATGGACGGATGTTCGACGATGGAAACTTCCGGCTAACCAAATGATCACGGCGTTCTACGCGACGAACATACCGGACGGGGCGAACTGTAACAAGTTGAGAGAGGTTTTCATGGAGTATGGCGAGGTGGTGGATATATACATAGCGAGAAAAAAGGATGCCAGTGGTTCCAACTTTGCCTTCATCAGGTTCAAAGTGATAGGTGATATCAAGGCACTAGAAGGAAACTCGAATTTGTGAACTAACGAAACAATATTATCAAGTGCAACATAGCTGTGAGGCATTCCACCAACATATCAGGAAGGGATTGGATAGAAAACCATAGATCCTTTGTTGATGTTGTCAAAGGTGTAGACAAGGTTCACAACATGCAGTCTCCCCTACGGTCATTCATCTTAATGTGCAAGAATATAAAGCAGATATGTTCGTCATGAAGGCTCTGGCTGGAAAAGTACATAGTCTGGAGCATCTTTATAATTTTCCAACGATCCTTGAAGCCTATGGAGTAGAAGGTATAAATATATACTATCTTGGTGGTATGATTGCTATGTTGTACTATCAATCATCGACCAGAACAAATGGATTTTTAAAGGAAAAATGATTATGGGGGAAATGGTTTCAGTGGCTAAATCCAGATGGATTTGAGAAAATTAGGTTCGAGAGGGTATCATGGCTTCAAATTGTAGGGCTACTGTTTAAACCGTTGTCGCACACGATTTAAGAAAATAATATTTTCACTGCTTGGTTGCACTAAAGGATCACACAAAGAAGTAGGGTCGAATCCTTAGGGACACAGCCTAATGGTCAATGTCTCTTTGCATTAATCACATACTAGTCAAAACTGAAAAATATAAAAAAGAGGATTTTTGACTTAAAACTAAAACTAAAAATTGTAGTGAAATTAACTAAATGAAATCACCAATAAAAACGAATTCGGTTCTGTTGCGACTTTCCTAATCATGCAATCAGCCCATATCTGGTTATTCAAAATGCATTCTATCCAAGTTGGTACTGAGAAAAACTAACAAACCCTAGTATAATCTCTTTTACCTAGTTAAATTAACCAAAACAAACTCTTCAGTTAAGCCTAACTTTGTACTATCTAATTAAACAATCTCTTAAATAAGATCAGAAAAGTTGCATTAAGATATGTGTAAAAATCCCAACAATACCCAATACTTCTCACAAGTTCGGAAGCGTAAGGGTATGAAATTTCAGTTTATATAAGAGTTAAATCCCTAACACGGAACCAATATGACACTTGTTACTTATTACTAGTTAACAAGAATAGTAACAGATTCTATTAACTGATTAACTGGAATGATTAAATCCTAGCTAGGTGATCAAACTAACAAGAATTAAAAATCAAATGTTCATTAAGCTCAAAACTGAAACAACTAGTGTGACAACCCGAAATTTCTATCTTGAATAGTTATCCAAATCAATCAAGGTTGGACTCGTTTTGCTATCTTCTAGCATTGTTTAGAGTCAATTAGAGCGTTTTAAGCTTAGTACATCCAAGAAATGAGTGTTAGGAAATATATGCTTGAGTCCATTGTGCACCAAGCAAGCCATAAACTTCATCATGTGGAGTTTATGATCACATCCCATGAGTTTACGGCCGTAAACTCAAGGTGGCCGTAAACTCATGCCTTAAACATGATATTTCATCCTTATTCTTCATTATTCACCATTTCAACCTCAAGAACTTGATTTCTCACTCAAGTATCATAAGGATCTTCATTTTATTCTTCAAAAATGTAAGTGTTTCATCCTTTGTTTTGTTAATACATCTCATTATCTAGTATCATCCTTTGATTCTATCCATTAACTTCATCTTTTGGGTTTGATCTTCAAGATCA